TTTTTAACTTAATAATTTTAACATTTCTTAATTTAAAACGAAACGTCTTCTATTATATTATGTTAACAAATTTCGAAAAACGACACCGACCCCGTGACCTCGACACCGTCCTTGAAAAATCTATTTTCAATTATTTTCAAATAAATCAAAATACTTTGCATATATGCTGTTAGAAAATCTTACAAACTATTTTTATGTAACATCTTTTTTCAATTTAACCCGAAAAAGGGTTATTTTTCAATTTTAACCCGAAAAAGAGTTATTTTGCAATTTTTGAAGAATTTTTTGATTTTTACAATTTTTTATTATTATTTTTTATTATTTATTGTTGTTTTTTCAATTTTTTGTTAGTAACCTATAATATTGTGTCTAATTTTAAGTGTCATTAAAATCAAATGTTTTTAACTTAATAATTTTAACATTTCTTATTTTAAAACGAAACATCTTCTATTATATTAAGTTAACAAATTTCGAAAAACGACACCGACCCCGTGACCTCGACACCGTCCTTGAAAAATCTATTTTCAATTATTTTCAAATAAATCAAAATACTTTGCATATAAGCTGTTAGAAAATCTTACAAACTGTTTTTATGTAACATTTTTTTTCAATTTTAACCCGAAAAAGGGTAATTTTTTAATTTTAACCCGAAAAAGGGTAATTTTTTAATTGTAACCCGAAAAAGGGTTATTTTGCAATTTTAACCCAAAAAAGGGTCATTTTGCAATTTTTTAAGAATGTTTTGATTTTTTCAATTTTTTATTATTATTTTTTATTATTTATTGTTGTTTTTTCAATTTTTAGTTAGTAACCTATAATATTGTGTCCAATTTTAAGTGTCATTAAAATCAAATGTTTTTAACTTAATAATTTTAACATTTCTTAATTTAAAACGAAACATCTTCTATTATATTAAGTAAACAAATTTCGAAAAACGACACCGACCCCGTGACCTCGACACCGTCCTTGAAAAATCTATTTTCAATTATTTTCAAATAAATCAAAATACTTTGCATATATGCTGTTAGAAAATCTTACAAACTATTTTTATGTAACATCTTTTTTCAATTTAACCCGAAAAAGGGTTATTTTTCAATTTTAACCCGAAAAAGAGTTATTTTGCAATTTTTGAAGAATTTTTTGATTTTTACAATTTTTTATTATTATTTTTTATTATTTATTGTTGTTTTTTCAATTTTTTGTTAGTAACCTATAATATTGTGTCTAATTTTAAGTGTCATTAAAATCAAATGTTTTTAACTTAATAATTTTAACATTTCTTATTTTAAAACGAAACATCTTCTATTATATTAAGTTAACAAATTTCGAAAAACGACACCGACCCCGTGACCTCGACACCGTCCTTGAAAAATCTATTTTCAATTATTTTCAAATAAATCAAAATACTTTGCATATATGGGCAAATTCACAGAACCGGCCGATTTCATGTTACTCATATATTTTTCTATTTTAGAAGTATTATATTAATTATTTTCATACTTCAACCATTTTGTAATATCTCTGAGAACCTATTGAAATAAGAAAATTGAATAAATGTGAACCTTCTAGTCTTTTATAAAAAATAAAATCGAATTAAGTAACTTAAAAAATGAAATTTACGGTGTTACTCCAGGTATAAATTTTAATTCTTATAGGTATAACTTGTTCGGCATAGATCCGAACAATTCCAAACTGTGGTGAATTATAGTTTACTTATTGAAGAATGTTTTGAAAGTAATAAAAAATATGTGCTCTTAAATAAAAAGAAATGATAGTCGTTGAAAGTAGCGTTACTCATTATTTTATAATAATGAAATGTCTATACATTTTTGTAAATATCTTTTGCGGCGATTATTCGATTTGAATTTTTCAAATTGGAGCTTATTGCTTGTGAACAGACGAACAAATGTATGTATCATAGAATAGAGTGCAATCAGAATTAAAGAAAATATTCCAATAATTATCACTCTATGTTTAAGCGTGAACCATTTTCAACTTAGCCTTTTTTCAGTAGCACAACTACAGGATAAAATATGATGAGTTGAAAACATGTGTGATTATATAAAGACATTATTATAATTCTTGTATGCAAACGCCAAATTATATTTTCAATTTATAACGTCTAAAAATTAAAAATAAAAAAAAATTTATCGAAATTTAACTAGTTAATCGTGAAAAATGAATTATCCTTTCATTTGTTTTATTTTCAAAGTTATATCAAAATCGATGTCAATAATGTCAGTTTGTTGGTTAAAATAGTTAATATCAAAATTAGTAAGTAAACAATTTAATTTACAGAAATAAAAAATTAAATGCTAATAAATAAAATATATAATAAAATATGATAAAATATAAATAATTTATTTTTGATAATTAAAAAATTAATTATTTGTATTTTATCATATTTCATTATTCAAAATGTTTTGCACATATTTCAAATAATATATAAAAAAAAACAAAGAAATGCCATTTTTAATTATAATTTCCAGAAGAAAAATAATATTTTCGTTTTTGGCTTTTAACTCAAACGGCATTAAAATAAAATGAATCACGCAAGAAGATAATTGTTCTTGAATATATTTTAAAGAAAGTAAACCATAAATAAAAGGTGTGCTTGCTATTTGGAAAATTTTCATCTTGATAAGTAAAAATCGGCCGGTTCTGTGGATTTGCCCATATGCTGTTAGAAAATCTTACAAACTATTTTTATGTAACATTTTTTTCAATTTTAACCCAAAAAAGGGTCATTTTGCAATTTTTTAAGAATTTTTTGATTTTTTCAATTTTTTATTATTATTTTTTATTATTTATTGTTGTTTTTTCAATTTTTAGTTAGTAACCTATAATATTGTGTCTAATTTTAAGTGTCATTAAAATCAAATGTTTTTAACTTAATAATTTTAACATTTCTTAATTTAAAACGAAACGTCTTCTATTATATTATGTTAACAAATTTCGAAAAACGACACCGACCCCGTGACCTCGACACCGTCCTTGAAAAATCTATTTTCAATTATTTTCAAATAAATCAAAATACTTTGCATATATGCTGTTAGAAAATCTTACAAACTATTTTTATGTAACATCTTTTTTCAATTTAACCCGAAAAAGGGTTATTTTTCAATTTTAACCCGAAAAAGAGTTATTTTGCAATTTTTGAAGAATTTTTTGATTTTTACAATTTTTTATTATTATTTTTTATTATTTATTGTTGTTTTTTCAATTTTTTGTTAGTAACCTATAATATTGTGTCTAATTTTAAGTGTCATTAAAATCAAATGTTTTTAACTTAATAATTTTAACATTTCTTATTTTAAAACGAAACATCTTCTATTATATTAAGTTAACAAATTTCGAAAAACGACACCGACCCCGTGACCTCGACACCGTCCTTGAAAAATCTATTTTCAATTATTTTCAAATAAATCAAAATACTTTGCATATATGCTGTTAGAAAATCTTACAAACTATTTTTATGTAACATTTTTTTCAATTTTAACCCAAAAAAGGGTCATTTTGCAATTTTTTAAGAATTTTTTGATTTTTTCAATTTTTTATTATTATTTTTTTATTATTTATTGTTGTTTTTTCAATTTTTAGTTAGTAACCTATAATATTGTGTCTAATTTTAAGTGTCATTAAAATCAAATGTTTTTAACTTAATAATTTTAACATTTCTTAATTTAAAACGAAACATCTTCTATTATATTAAGTTAACAAATTTCGAAAAACGACACCGACCCCGTGACCTCGACACCGTCCTTGAAAAATCTATTTTCCATTATTTTCAAATAAATCAAAATACTTTGCATATAAGCTGTTAGAAAATCTTACAAACTGTTTTTATGTAACATTTTTTTTCAATTTTAACCCGAAAAAGGGTTATTTTTCAATTTTAACCCGAAAAAGAGTTATTTTGCAATTTTTGAAGAATTTTTTGATTTTTACAATTTTTTATTATTATTTTTTATTATTTATTGTTGTTTTTTCAATTTTTAGTTAGTAACCTATAATATTGTGTCTAATTTTAAGTGTCATTAAAATCAAATGTTTTTAACTTAATAATTTTAACATTTCTTAATTTAAAACGAAACATCTTCTTCTTCTATTATATTAAGTTAACAAATTTCGAAAAACGACACCGACCCCGTGACCTCGACACCGTCCTTGAAAAATCTATTTTCAATTATTTTCAAATAAATCAAAATACTTTGCATATAAGCTGTTAGAAAATCTTACAAACTGTTTTTATGTAACATTTTTTTTCAATTTTAACCCGAAAAAGGGTAATTTTTTAATTTTAACCCGAAAAAGGGTAATTTTTTAATTGTAACCCGAAAAAGGGTTATTTTGCAATTTTAACCCAAAAAAGGGTCATTTTGCAATTTTTTAAGAATGTTTTGATTTTTTCAATTTTTTATTATTATTTTTTATTATTTATTGTTGTTTTTTCAATTTTTAGTTAGTAACCTATAATATTGTGTCTAATTTTAAGTGTCATTAAAATCAAATGTTTTTAACTTAATAATTTTAACATTTCTTAATTTAAAACGAAACATCTTCTATTATATTAAGTAAACAAATTTCGAAAAACGACACCGACCCCGTGACCTCGACACCGTCCTTGAAAAATCTATTTTCAATTATTTTCAAATAAATCAAAATACTTTGCATATATGCTGTTAGAAAATCTTACAAACTATTTTTATGTAACATCTTTTTTCAATTTAACCCGAAAAAGGGTTATTTTTCAATTTTAACCCGAAAAAGAGTTATTTTGCAATTTTTGAAGAATTTTTTGATTTTTACAATTTTTTATTATTATTTTTTATTATTTATTGTTGTTTTTTCAATTTTTTGTTAGTAACCTATAATATTGTGTCTAATTTTAAGTGTCATTAAAATCAAATGTTTTTAACTTAATAATTTTAACATTTCTTAATTTAAAACGAAACATCTTCTATTATATTAAGTTAACAAATTTCGAAAAACGACACCGACCCCGTGACCTCGACACCGTCCTTGAAAAATCTATTTTCAATTATTTTCAAATAAATCAAAATACTTTGCATATATGCTGTTAGAAAATCTTACAAACTATTTTTATGTAACATTTTTTTCAATTTTAACCCAAAAAAGGGTCATTTTGCAATTTTTTAAGAATTTTTTGATTTTTTCAATTTTTTATTATTATTTTTTATTATTTATTGTTGTTTTTTCAATTTTTAGTTAGTAACCTATAATATTGTGTCTAATTTTAAGTGTCATTAAAATCAAATGTTTTTAACTTAATAATTTTAACATTTCTTAATTTAAAACGAAACATCTTCTTCTTCTATTATATTAAGTTAACAAATTTCGAAAAACGACACCGACCCCGTGACCTTGACACCGTCCTTGAAAAATCTATTTTCAATTATTTTCAAATAAATCAAAATACTTTGCATATATGCTGTTAGAAAATCTTACAAACTGTTTTTATGTAACATTTTTTTTCAATTTTAACCCGAAAAAGGGTAATTTTTTAATTTTAACCCGAAAAAGGGTAATTTTTTAATTGTAACCCGAAAAAGGGTTATTTTGCAATTTTAACCCGAAAAAGGGTTATTTTGCAATTTTTTAAGAATGTTTTGATTTTTTCAATTTTTTATTATTATTTTTTATTATTTATTGTTGTTTTTTCAATTTTTAGTTATTAACCTATAATATTGTGTCTAATTTTAAGTGTCATTAAAATCAAATGTTTTTAACTTAATAATTTTAACATTTCTTAATTTAAAACGAAACATCTTCTATTATATTAAGTAAACAAATTTCGAAAAACGACACCGACCCCGTGACCTCGACACCGTCCTTGAAAAATCTATTTTCAATTATTTTCAAATAAATCAAAATACTTTGCATATATGCTGTTAGAAAATCTTACAAACTATTTTTATGTAACATTTTTTTCAATTTTAACCCAAAAAAGGGTCGTTTTGCAATTTTTTAAGAATTTTTTGATTTTTTCAATTTTTTATTATTATTTTTTATTATTTATTGTTGTTTTTTCAATTTTTAGTT